CACCGTTTCCTCGTACAGGTAGGCGGCCTTCCTGTACTCGGTCCAGGATGCTGGATTGCCGTCCCAGGATGGGATGTTGTCCTTGCCTTTGGTCACGGTCATGGCTCAGGGGCTACCCCTACAAAACTCACCCTAAAGGAAATCCGATTCGGATGCCCTGGATCTAAGGCTTCGTTGCTCTTTTGGCTTGGAAACCTCACACCTATCTAACGGAGCTAGATGTGAGGCTCCGCTACCATGCAAGTGCACGGTAGCGGCCTCCGTTTTCCTACACTGGAGTGGGGGGGTCCTTGAGCCCGGAGAGAACCGGGACGAGTTCCTACGGTGTTCGTGAACAGAAATTGCATATATGATCATATATATGATCTAATGATTTGACCTTTGGCTGGTTTTGGATGATTGCCCTCTTGGTCAACTCAATTCCCTACATCAGGGGCAATCAGGGGCTTCGACTGAAGCAGAAATACGTTCTACTCTCACCCACCCCCAAACCCGCTCCGCCCCAAAAAAACACATCAAAGAAACATAAAGAAACATTACAACACGTTGTGTTGTTTTTGAGGACCTGACATTGCATAAAAGGAAAAAAGGACATAAGTGATGTTTACTATCTTATCCATTTTTATCATGACACAGTGGTGAACCGGCTTATGAATATCTGCATGAACACGATACGGGTCGACGACCACTTTGAGCCCGATGCACGCGAAGTGCGTGCGAAGCCGCACGCGAAGACGGCATTTGCGACGCGTGCTAGGAGCTGCTTACGGCACACCCCTTCTAAGTTCAGCATGAGCTAGGGTCAAAAACTGAGTATGGCTTCTATATTGTCTCTCTCTCTCTATATATATATATATATTGGTCAATACTTTGGTCAATATGTCATATATGTCCAAGAGATCTCAGCATATTGTTTCAAATCCTGTCCCTCTGGTTGGTGATGTTCCCTGACGAAAGCAAACTCTAACCTAACACATTCAGGGCCAGTCACAGGGCTCTCACCCCTACGTCGCCTCGAGCGCATGGCCAAAAGAGTTGTTTTTAACAAAACTGATTGCTGGAGGGAGTGTTCCAAGACATTTGAAAACAACATGAGTGTGCATATGTGTGCATTAAAACAGGGAGACGTCCCAGGCAACGACCCCCTGGAAGGTTTCGGAAAACAGACCCACGGCATCCCCTTAGACCCACGGCCTGACTTTGGACGTGTCAGACGTGTAGGTGGGTCAGACGTGTAAACCCCAAGCCATTGGCTTGGTGTGTCCCGCGAGCTTTCGCTCACTCCTCCGCCGATGGTTGAAGCGGCGCACAAAACCAGCGGAGCAACCCGCCGCGGGTTGCGATTGCCGTCCGGTCACGGCCGTGGAAGAAAAGGAGCCTCGATCGATTGTGTGGTCTCACTGACCCTCCAGGATGGTGAGAAATCAGGATCCGGCATCCAAACAGAGGTGTATGTCCATATCTCTTACGAACAACACACATGTGACCCAGAAACAAGAGCAAGAGAAACAGCAGCAACAACAAGGTCCGGGTAGAGGGTTCCAATGCCTACATCCCTTTAACAAAATATATCAGTCACGCAAACTTCTTCGAATGCTTACATCCCCTCAGATTTGAAGAGAAAACAATCAGTCAAGCAAGGTCCTTCGCCTTGCAAACAGGGATCCAACTACCCCGCCAAAGACCTTTAGGCCGTCCCTGTTGTGCAACTCTGCTGAGGATAGGAACTCAAAACTCCAGCATTCCCCGGTAGGCTTCCTAAGTCAAACACGCCATATCTGCCTACATTGGAATGGTTCGGGGGGGTCAAGGTATAATAGGCATATATTCCCTACATGGAGTGTCTGGCTAAGTTAGGTAAACCATGGTAAACCTATATATAGCCATATAGCTAAGACATGTTTGGATCAACAGCTATGCCAGATAGGAATCACGCATCAGTTGCATCAGAAATGATCAACATGGACCCTCCCCAACACACACGAGGACTTCAGGCTACTCCCCTGCAGATAGAACCTGTTCAACCACTGAGGGTTCTTCGGAAAAGGGTCCAGTGGGGTCAAACAAGGGCTTTGGAGGGAACGTCGGCATCCCCACGTATCACATATCACACTCTCTGCACTGAAAAATTCGAGACCCCCTTGAAGCACATTGGCTTCCCGTGTGGAAACCCGGACGGTTTGGGCCAATCCGCTGCGCCGGTCGAGTTCTCGGCATTGGCTGGACGTGGTTTCTCGAGTTCGAAGGGTGGGGCGCTCGTTCGAACTCTCTGGTGGCATTCTCGGGTGGTTCAAAGTTCTTGGTATGTCAGCTCTGTGAGGGGCGAACTTCCCGCCACGGAGAGCTCCGTTTCCACCAAAAAGATGCAGCTTGTGGAGCGAAGGTTGGGTTCCGAACTTGCAGTAATGTGGTTTCCTGCAGCCACGAGCTAGTGACTATCAGGAGTCCACGTTTGTTTTGGGTCTACGGTTGGTTGGAATCTCTTCAATAGAACCCTGCTTGGATAGATCAGGGATACATCTGGGCACAGCGGTTTTAGGAAAGGCTAAAGTGTCGACAACATCGACTCTCAAGGGTCTTTGATGGCGAGCAAAACAGGAACTGAACTGGTTTGTGGGTGGGGCCTTCTCTTGGTGAGTGGGGCATGTAATGTAGACTGTAGACTCTTGATCAATTAAACCCCCCATTTGGATGCGCGAACTTGCGGAAAAAAATTCGACGCGCGCCCACGAACCCCCTTCCTCCGATGTTCGAAACCCCCCAGTTGGATTGAAAAAATCTCTTCATAGTCCGGGGAATTGATTCAAAGAGTCTACATGACAGGGCTACCACACACCGGTAAGAAGTAACGCATCCGACGTGGCTTTTCGGAGGCCGCTGGATGTGGCGGGGGGCAAAACCGTCAAGGGCGTGTCCAATGGTCGATTCCTCTAGGGCAACCTCAGGCGCCGTCGGGTTTCGTACCGTGAACATTCCCGAAAGGGCAACGAAAGAGGGCACCCGCCACGCGAACCACGCCCAAGGTCCATCGCCACAAGTAAAGAGAGACCATACCTTGTGGACTCCTGTGGTCGAACATCTAGTCGTGCAAGCACCCCAGGTGCATCTGGAAATCGGAGATCCCGGAGATCCCCAAATTGAGGGTCCAAACCTTAGGAAGTCTACATGGCCTTTTGACCAAAGTGACTGACCTAGCTTAGCCACTAAAAGTATCATTCGTCACTGGCAAGGTCCTGGGGGGGTTGTGTGACCAAGAAGGCGCTCCTCTTGAGAAATATCAATTCTTGGATACGAAGCCATGATCCTTTCGAGGACCAACAGGAGTGTGGATATCTGCACCCTCAGCAAGGCGTTGGAACTCATCAACCAGCACCTCCTAAGCTTGGAATGGTTATTAGATGGAACACACATGTGGTCACCGGAGGGCGTAAACCGAACCACCCGAACCAGGTGGTGCTGAAATGTTCTTCTCGAAGACATGCATCCGCATTCCAGTCCATGTGAACTACTGTCGCAGTGGATAAGAAAGGACTTGTCCGAGATCAAACGTGCGGCCTGGTTGGAGGGTCTGGGTCCGGTGACAGGAGGGTCCTGGAGCCTTGCGCTGTCCTTTTTTCTGGTCGGATCATGGAATTTGGACCTTCTCAACCATAGGACTCTCTTATGGAGGTGTTTGACCTTACCCAATTTGGAACCCAACCGAACCAAAACCGCTTGCTTCGGGTCCATCATTCAAAAAAGGCGTCCAATCTTGGCAGTTGGCGTCAGAAAATCCTCAGACACATTGGAGGTCTCCGGTTGGAAAGTCGGTTCTTTGTAGCAAAACTTAGAGAGGGAGAAGGTCACAGCACACAGATGCGAGCGAGGGGATGAGTTGGGGGCAAGCTGCTGGCGCTCCTGGGGGTCGTCCAGAACACTCACCTCACTGAATGAGTCTACCTTCTGACGAAGACTTCACATGAAAGTGGAACATGGTCCCTTGGAAGACTACTTTCCTTTACGAACAACAAGTTTGCCACTTCCATGTTAGTGAGTGGGAGTGTAAATACAGTATATGCATAAATGTATAAACCCGTAAAACAAACACCCCAACTTGGAACTCCTGGTTCCATGTTTACTCTTCATGTTTGTCCTCCACAAAGAAACCAAGTTGTAGATCACACCCCAGACCATCCTGGACCACAAATGCAGGTCAAAATATGATAGTGTCATGAGTTCAACCCACTTTAACGTGACGAACGTGCGGGCTTCAACCCAGTTTGGTTCTGCTCTTTCGTGGGACTGTGGATTGCGCTCGTCGGAGGGATGTGGTCGTTCGTGCCCAGGCAGCGAAGTGCCCATGATCCACTCACATAGACCGCCTAAAGAGCGCCCCAAAAGCACCCCGCATGGAGCTCCTGGTATGGAATGGAAGCTATTTTTTGAGCCGTGATCCGGTTTTTTGAACCTGCTTCGGCAGCCGAACGCGGCAACATCCCATGTTCCAAGCTCTAAAATATCCATGCGATCCCATGCGATTCAGCAGGAAAGTCACTCCGTCCCATCCCATCTCTGCCAGGAAATCGCTGCGGAATAGAGAACTCCAAGACCCCAAGTCCCAAACAGGGTGCGTTCTGAACACATCTGGAATCCCTAAGAACAAGAAGCTACTAGTAACAAGGGCATCGCTACTAGCAAGCGCGCTACTAGGCGGGTTCCTGGCCTTACCACTAGTGACAAGGACGCTACTAGGAACAAATGGCATCGCTACGAACGGAGCAATTCAGTATAGATCCAAAGCCGACTCGACAGTTTCAGGAGAGTCCGTAGATCACAAGCGCCATGGTAGATCTGGCATCACCTTCTCGCTCCCGACTTGGTGGCTGGAACGAAGATTGGCGATGCAAATACTGATTGTCGAGCTCTTGTTGTATTTTGGTTGCTGGAAACAAAGAAAAAGACCAGTGAGGTTTCAGCCACCAGTCCCGTTCTACAACCTCTGAGAGCCCCTGAACTTGCTCTCAGAAGGGTCTGAACATCATATTCACAGGGTGTGGCTCATCCTCAGCTCTCAGACATCGGGGCGTGGTGGGCATCGGCGTCGTTTCGAGGTGGGAGGAACGACATTTGGCCACGAAGAGAAGATCAAAATGCCTAGTAGCTTCTTGCTACTAGTAGCGATGGCCTCCAACCTGCTTGGGATGGCCTCCACCGAGCATAGCGTCCTTGTTACTGGGAGTTTCATGCAGTTTCTATTCATGACTTGTTAGGGTGATAGACGGATGCAACATGGTGTGGATTTGTGGTGGATTTGTTTCGTCCTCTCCGAAAGGGAACCTGTCTAAGTGTGTACTGTATAGAGATATATATATATATAGAAATGACTGCAACCTGAGCTTTCACCAAGTCCCCTTTTGGTCCTTTTGGTTGACTCACTTCCACTGTTCCAAACCCAGAGTGTCTAACCTTGGTGGATGATATGCTGGTAGCAGGACTCCCAATCCAGCCACACATAATGGTGAACAAGGACTAAGGAACGCCGTCTAAAACACAAGAATAAACACACCAACAAGATCCAAAAGGAATCCAAAGCAAAGCAAAACACAAAGGACCTCGGTTGTTTCCATGGCACATAGGACCTCGCTTGTGGCTCAGAACAGGCCTCCCCTTTGGCACTTTGGTAAGGTACCCGGTGCGAGGGGGGTTGATACCAGGTCGATGTGGAAAACATCCTTTGGGGCCGGACCCGAATCCTGACTGGAGGGGTCTGGGGTTTCTCACCAATCCTTAGGTTTTGAGGACCAGGAAAGGGCTGTAAAGGGAGCGTCTGGGTGGTTTAGGGTTTAGGGTTCAGAGGGGTCCGTGACACATCTGGGCCCCCCAAGTTCGTTGATGGGTGCCATCTACTCTCAAACTACTGTAGGTTATTAAATCAATGTCTGGTTCATGACCGGAGGTATCCCCTCTATGACTTCAAGCAACAACAAAAACCTGGGATGCCCGGTCAACCATTGGTTCAATGGTCTGAATCCCAAACAACCTTGGTTTACTGATTTTACACTACAAAACCCGGTGGTTCCCATTCTTTCAACTTTGTTCAGGCTGATCCGTTTCCGGGTCTGTCCTGGACAGTCACCTCGCCTGGTGTGCTGAGACACGGCCGCTGGCCGCTGGAGGTGTCTTGTTGGGGCCCATCATGGCCCTATCTCTTGTCCGATGAGTTGGATTTGCTTCGCAAACAGTCGGACATCGGACAAGTAGGTCCAGTTGGGTGACCACTGTAAGTCACCAGTGGGGAACCAGTTCGACGAACATTCCCAGTCGACCGAATTTCAGTAGATGGACGACATATTCAAACCCCGGAGTTTAGGAGTCAAGGTGGTTTGGAAGGTTTGAATATTTGGTCCATCATCTACGGTCGAAATCCTGGATGAATCCAAACCAACATCCTCCGTGGTTTGTCGGCGCTTCGACGCCCCCCCGGTTTTTTCGGATCCCTCAGCGCGTTCCTCACCATCCTGCCCCCCAGATGTTCATAACCTCAAACATGTCGAAAAGAGAATGCTGCAAAATCCGTCGCACCCATTTTTGTGGACCATCACTGAGTTGTTTGGATCCTGATGTCAAAAAAGTGATGGTTCTTCGCAAAAATAAGTCCAACTGGTTAATGGTTTCAACTGAACCTTATAGTCAGTTGCTTCAATCATCGTTGAACATCTGTCTCCAAAAACCAGTCCGGTCCCACCACCCTCTTCCTTTCACCCGGTGGACCACACCAGGGTTCTGGATGTGGTGAGCATTCGAAGGTCCGTACATTCAGGTCCTGCAGGCGCACCGTCCGCGCCTGGCAGTGGTGCGGAGGGTGGTGGGACCAGATGGGACGGTCGGTGGACGGTGCGGAGGGTGGGAAACACCGAGGATCATGTCGTGGTTCCTCCTCGAAGTGTCGTGGTTGCGAGGTCGGTATCAAGTGTCCCAGGTACTGAAGCCATTGATCTACAGTGGATTAGTAGATGGCACAGAAATTCAAGAGGATCCAAGAGGTAGGGCTCACATGGACCCCCATTTGTCTAGTCGGACATGATGGGGTCTGTGCCATCTACTGTGAATTCCACTGCAAAAAACGGTGAGTCATCTGGTGCTTCTCCAACCGCTTCATGATCCGATCTGGTCCACCCAAAGATGACGATGGCTCTCCAGAGCAGACGCCAGAGCCTCGTCCTCCTTCGGCTCCATCGTGCGACAGCGACTTCAGCGACAAAACACGTCGACCCGTGAAAAAAAGCTGCACGACTGCGTGTCAAATAAGTGGAACCTAGCGGACCGTCTGCATATACAAACATACTATAGATCAGACATGACAAATATTTGTGGGACTGAAGCACGGCAGCGATATGACTTTCACACACCTTCGATGAGAGGCCCACAACCCATCGCATGGACACCAGTGGAGCACATCGCGCATCCTCTGCGATGCAATACAGTGGTTTCAGAGTAGATCGGACAAACCTCTAGATGTCATTTAGATGGGGGTCCATATTAAAAAATATATATATAACTGACAACCTTTTGGGGATTGTGCCATCTACCTGAAACCACTGAATTTGCCCAGTGGCCTTACAGACCCCAGAAGTAGGTGCTCACAATGCACCTCTACACGGCGCCCTTGTAGGGCATCGTTGAACGAGGGCATCGATGCACCACCGATTGTCAACGCCCTGCAGTCTTCGGATGAGGTAGCCCATCCACCGAGCCCTTCACGACCCTTGGGGGAGCCATTCCGACGGCCAATTCGACACGGCCCTTCGACACATCTACCCGACTCGCTAGGCTGGAGATACCGGAACCTGATGGACTCATGTATCGGACCTGGACCTATCGGCACGGTACCAAACGGTCCACATTACCGTCCGCAACAACACTAGACCGAGAACACAGGCATTACCACTGGCTAACTTATGCTGAAGTATCCAAGCAAATTGCCCGGTGGCCTCCACAAACCGTCCGATTTGCTATTCGAGATGTACATTGTGTGGTCTTTAAATGCCTTTAAAGCACCCGGTCGCCATCCGTTCGACAATTTTAAAAATGGGAACGACATGGAATGACCCGGTTTTGTAGTGTAAAATCCTGAATAAATGGTTGTTCGGCATTCAGGCTATTACATCAATATATGAACCAATGGTGGCTCGTCTGCCAAGGCAGTCTGGATGTATGCAAACCTTGCTAACCCCACCAATCTGGCACCTCTACCTGCAAATACGGGTGTCACTTGATAGGAACGTGCAATATCCTTTGTGAATCATACCGGCGTCGATTTGCCAATTTAACCCCCTCATGGGAAAGGCTACGAACTAGGGGGTCTCCCTATTTCACATACCATAGTAATAGTAATATATTTAGGACTCCCGCGTTCCATCGGCCTGAGAGGGAGTGATACTGCACACTGCACCCAAATTCCCGCACACGTCGCAGTAGTTCCTGAGAAGACGAGGGTTCCGATCATCGTTTCGCGGGTTCTGATGGGCTTTTGAAATCCATCTCGTGGACAAAAAATCCAAAACGTCATCTATAGACTATAGACTGCAACGTCACACATCTCAAAGGGCCGGTGTGTAGTTCTGAAACGCACCATTCCACCTAATCTATAATAGGTCAAGTAGTTCAACCATGGCTTAAGCCCGGGCGCGTAGGCCTGCTGCTTCAACTAGTTTTTGACATGTTTAAAGGTGTCTGCTGTGCTTTGTAGTGTGTGAACTATGTGAATGCTGTTGATGCCTTCCTCTACTAGTTGTTGTGTGTAACGAAAGTGATCTGTATGCACTTTGCTTACTTTGCTGTTCCTTCTCGTGTAGCAAAGCTACCGACCAGTGAGTCCGTCTGTACGATGTGTACAGACTGGTGACCAAGCAGGCTCTCCTCCAGTAGGATTCACTGCTGCTGTGTAGGCTCTCCTCGTCATCTCCGGAGTCCAGCGAACTCTCTCTGCACTGCTTTCCGCCACAGCTTAGCTTGTGTCCTGCAAATCGCGGCTGCCAAGTAAGTAGATGATGATGAAACCATATCCAACCGATCAATGGGCTTCCTGCCCAATCAGCATCCACCTAGACATCAACGTCTATAGTAGCTTGTGTCCTGGGGTCAGCTGGACTGTTGGTCGTAGGTGGAACTCGTCATTTGTAGTGCTTTTCAGGTTGTTGAAAACGTTCTTAGGCTTCTTAGGCGTGTGCTATGTCTATTGTGTATGTCGGGAGTCGGGTGAAGCCCTTCAAGCCCTTGTGTCACTTTATCACGACCCTTCTGTATGCCTTGTGTTCGTCTTTTCCTTCTCCTTTCCCTTTGCTGTAGTTTCCAATGTCCAAAGGCTGTGGTGCTTTGGTAGTTGGAATTCTTCGATGCTCGTCCTGTCTGCTGTAGTGCTGTCGCTCTGTATGTTTGTTGTCGCTATATGCATGATTCAATCCCATTGCATTCCCCTGTCGGGTTCCTCCTGACTGCTGTAGCTACTGCTCAGTGCACATGCTCAGAAGTATGTCGTGTACATGTAGACCGTTTGCGATTTGTAGGAATTGTGTGGAATCTTCCGGGTTGTCAGCTGCCAGTGCCAGTTCTTCATCTGTCATTGGCCCTGTAGACTGTAGACTCTTCGGCTGCTCTCAGCAGTCTACTGTAGTCTGCGTGTTCGTCGTAGGCTCATGTATGCTTTTAAGCGTGTCCGTCGTAGGCCGGCCGTGCTGGTTTGCAGCTGTGGATTTGCTGAGCAATCGTTTCCTTCTGCTGAGGCAGCAGTTGGTCCTGTGCGGAATGCTGTAGCTGGTGCTGTAGCCATGTGCTCTTCTCACCTTGAGTGCTCCTTCTGTTTGCAGCTTCAGTGACTAGTGGCCACTTTGGCTGTATACTGGAGTTGCGTAGTAGCGGTGTGAGCTTGCTAGGGGCCAAAGCTCTGCTGCCACGCTCAAGTGGAGCGACTGTCGGTAGTGTTGTTTGTGAACCTCTGCAGTTTCCTTGCCAACCTGTGAGTGTAGTCTCAGCAAAACAAGCAGTATTTCGCTGCATATAGGGCAGTTTGAGTGGTATACAGCTCAAGGCCTGGTAGGCCATTAGTGTACAGGCACATGGATTTCAACATCGTTTACTACGACATGTAAGGAATCCCAACATATAAAAGGTTCAGTCACAAAGTCTGCCTCTCCAGTACAACAACGACTCTGAAAGTCGGAAGCTGTGGTGGCGACTAGTCCCACACTACACGGGGGGGCACTTGCTGAATCTGACAAGGGAGGGTGGAAAGCGAGGTTCAAACATGAGCATCACCAGCCACCAGCAAGTTGAGAGTTGGTTGTAAGGAAACACCTGGGCATAGGTATATAGCTAAGGGAGCTCAGTGTGTATAGTTGTTGTTGCACACAGGATGCACCATTGATAGTTTGAACCACCATGGCAAAACAAAAAAAACACATAACTTGTCATGACCATTTACCAGCCATCATTAACTGTCCTGCTGTGTCAGTCATCTATCCATCGTGATGGCATGGCATTGTCCTGTCGTGATTGCATTAGAAGGGTCACCAACCACTCCGAAATTGGAATTCAATTCTGTTGCCATTGAGGGGGGGTTACTGCATCGCTGTTGTATTTGGCATTGAAACTTTGATCGAAACCCATGGGCAGGAAAACTGTGGTTTATTTCGTGTTCTGCCCAACCTGAAGACAATGACCAACAAACCCTGCCCCTCCGCTTTTAGAAACACAGAGTCCCTATCACTTGAATGTGTTTCCATTGCATTGAATAGCACAGGTCACATGTTCTATATGAGTCATAGACCAAACATGACTAAACATCCCCCAACTTAATTTTCATGTGGACAAAATTGCCCCATCAAACTCATGCGACGATGACCTCATAGTGCACTTTTGGTTTTAAAAGGAGACCACCGATGACCACCTCGAAGTGTCCCGTCGAAGTGTCGCTGGTCAGTTCCAACCGATCGGATCGAGAGAAGATCGAGAGAAGATCGGATCATCCCAGTGGCGGCGCTGAGAAGATCGTGAGGCAACGGTTCATGTGCTGCCACTCGTAGCCCTGGCACTTCTTCGGTCCGCCGAGAACGACGAAGGACGAGGCGCAGGTGGTGAGGTCTACGGTCTCGGACGGTCTGGGAGTAATGTCTGTCACCAAATTGGTGGTACAGACTGGAGGTGGTTTAGAATGGAAGGAGTTTTTCTCATCTCAAAAAAATATCCAATTAAAAGAAACATGCAAACAAACAATGCACATTAAAACCTAAATGAAGAAATATGCGAAACTATGCAAGACCTTCACTCTCTCGCTTTGATACTTTTCAAGATGAGTCTTGTACTGCTGAGGTGGTGCCTGGACTTTGGATTGACCCAAATCCACCGGCTGCGCTCTGTTGCGTTTTCGCTCTGTTGTGGTCAGCTGTTAGGCACGAGGTTTGGCACGTGTGTACGGTGTGCCCTCGTCCTGTTGAGACTAGATCTTTCGTGACCCACCGCAAGTTCACCGTAAATCCACCTGTATCTCAATCAGACAAATCACATACATTTATCTTTATCATTGAGAGAGTCTGTTTTAACATGGTTTGAAATGAAATGAAATGAAATAAACATGGTTGTTATGTTTTTCTAGTGGTCCAACCCCTAATGATCTAACCCCTACTGATCTAACCCACCATTTAGTATCAATGAGTCTGGGGCCTTGGGGTCTTCCTGAGAGATGTCAACACAAATGATCAAACAAAGGTGAAACAAACAGAGGGAACCAGAAACAATGTGTGGACCATGAATCATAAAACTTAGCTGAGCTCATCCCCACCAAGCCAATGTGCAGTTCATCTGGTATGTTTTCATACCATATTATATAGATCTTCTAACTGTGCAACCTGTCTGCCTTTTCATCTGTAGATTACCAAAATAAAACCAACCCAAACCCAGGCCTTCCATGGGACTGCCATATTTGCCGATCAGGCCAGGGGTGGTGAGTGGCTGGGGGTCTCTCTAGGGCGGAATCTCTTCCAATCCCAGACAGGTCGTGTCTGGACTTGGAAGATCCTGCTCTTGACACCTGGGGAGAGACCCCAGGTCTCGACTCCACGAATTCCACCGGAGTCGAAGCTTTTTCCACACGGACCGGCAGTCATCGACTCGATTTTTCATGTGACCCGGGGCAGGCCTCGAAGGTCGATGGGACCGATAGACAACGATTTGGAGGTGTTTGGAGGTGATTTTGTTGATTGATGTGAGACTTGAATGGACAAATGTCACACGGAACATCCTGAAGGTGATCTTGGATTTTGGCACCGAATTGAAAGACTCCTACTCTTCGCGAACCACCCCAGAGAAGCGAAGCAACACAGCAAGATTTGCTACGACGGAACAAACAAGAGACGCTACAAAAGGAGCACGACGCATTGCACCTGACGCGGGATGATTCTAGATAGAGCCTGATCCTGACCTCTTTTTTCGACCACCACCACCCAAAATATGGTCGTGTCCAATCAAAAGAGAGGTCAATGTTTGGGCCCCAGGTACAAAATATAAATTCCTTTTCATGTTCTCCCCTATATCCCGCCATTCCCCAAGCAACGAAACCCACCACCCAGCCGAACCCGCTACAGTAGCACCTTCCAACCCTGGCCAACCGGCCAATTCACCCGCCTGACTCGCTGTCACAGAGCGGACGACCAGTCCCTTTGGTCCGGCCTCGGACTTCATTTCGTGCGAGCGGATGATACAGCAAAGGCCGTTCTCCTCACAGAAGCCTCAGCGGTCGGTCCCCCCATGCAGCGAGGTCCCGCGCTGCGACCGACAGAGTGTGACGGGAGCGTGTCGATCGGCGCCCGCTGCGACGGACAGGTCAAAAACCGGCAGGGCCTCGTTGGAGCCCCGGGTGACCAGTTTGTTCGACCCAGAAATACCTGTCAAACACACGTCCAATACAACGTCTTTTGCCCATCCTATGCCTATATACGTCTTTCCCGTCCAACACACATCTTTCTTCCTCCACTAGCGCTAGCAACTTACGAAGCTGAAGAATCCGTGGGACATGTTAGCAGATCTATCCGGAGAGTGACTTCACATCACTGCCTTCGGTCACAGTGCGTTGGACCGGATCCGTCGGAGATCCGCGACGCTTCGGCGACGTTTCGGCGGATTTCGGCGAAACGGCACGGTCGACCGAATCGCTGGGTGAAAACACATGCGCTACAACAATTGTTCAATGAAGTGCCAGGTCTGTCAGGTATAATACATTCTGATGTAGTCATCTTATATCACCAAATATGGATCGATCCCACAGGGCTTGTGGAAGGTAGGGGGGATAGCCTGATCAAAATCCACCTACATCCGCCCCATCTCGGAAAGAATACGTCTGCATGGGAAACAAGAATCTCGGTGATCAAGATGAGCTCCCGAATCGAAGTACAGAATCCCTTGGTGCTCGTGCCATTAGGACTGTTGTTGGACGAGGTGTTCTTACTGGATGATGGCCTAGTACTCATAGCTTGTGAGCACACAGGTGTTCAATCTTTGACCATTCACGCCATGTGGGGGAAGACATTCACGCCATCAGGGCGATCCTTTGATCGATGTGTCATCGATTAGCCGCCAAAGAGTAGTGATTGAGATTATCAAAATCCAAAGATGGCTTGATAAATATCACCATGTGTTTCATGTCGTTTCTGCAAACATCCAAGTCGACTTTGGAGTCCTAGAAAAAGGATCTATTCATACTTACCCTACAAGTCCAAATACCCAGTAAACCCTGGTCTTTTACCTCCTCAAGTATTGGTTTTGTATGACCATCTCCAGTAAAATGAGGTCTTTGACTTGTAGGGTTCTCTTCCAACATCGCCAAATCAATCACGACAGCTTCTTCTCTCAGAAACCCCCCACCCCCCCTCCGAGACCCTACCGACCCTGCGCTCGCTGCTCCTGCTGTCTGGGCGGCGCTTGGTGACGTCGGGGCCGAAGAGGATGCCGCCGCCCCGGGGCGAGGTGCAGAAGCCCGGAGAGTCCATTGGATCGGACCACAGGAGGTCCTGCAGGCCGAGGCGATGCGAGGCGCCTGCCTGCCGCAAGGCACGGTGAGTGAGGGGTGAGTATGGTGAAGGTGGGAAGAAGAGGGTCAAGGAGAGGGTGACCAAAGCAGGGGAGGGTTTTCAGGGGTGTTGAGGGATCAAAAAACGTCGTCACTATGAGGCAATGTCTTTCGAAGACAATGTAAAAATCAAAAAATTGTAACAATAGATCAGACCCTGGGGAAATAGACCAATAGATCAGCCCCTTTCTATGTAAAAAAAACAAACCAGTTTGTGGTCAGACTCAGTCAGACCTGGATCCAACCAAGTTCAAACTGGGCGGGTTGGATGAAAAAAACGGAGTCTGCCCAAATACGACCTGGCTGGGTTGCCAGCATGGTATAGGAAAGAGATTTGGCGGTCCTTACCACAGAGTGATTGGAAGAGGGCTAATATATAACTGTCAAGTCTATAGCAGTACAGAAGTGTGTATTGCACAGTGTTGTTCTTTTCGCGGGTTTTGTAAAGTTGCCACGTTGTACGTGTTAATGAAGACAGTTGGAAGGGTTCAGCGGGTTATAAGTGTTAAAAAGGAGTTAACAAGTATGTATAGTTGTCTAAGAGGATTCTCCAAACCCCCAGCCCCGAGCAAGCATATAATACATGTTTGTCAACATGATTCTTTCTCTCTGACTGCGGGCAAGGTTAGGCCATGTGAGTTCTTCTCACTGCTGGGTTTGCAAGGTGTTTTCCCAAGTCGACCTCATCCTTAATCCCCCATTCCACATTAGATTCCGAACCTCTTTCCACCAAAAAAAACATTCCCAAACTCATTACACATCCCCATTCCTTGTCCAAACAAAAATAACACAACTCATTTAGACAAACTTAATTACAGTAAACACATAAACAAAAACTTGCTGTTAAACAAAATAGATAATAATAGAAAAACAAAAAAATAACGACAACAGCAACAACCACCACCACCGCCACAACAACAACACCCCATCTCCAGCATCAGCTGCTCAGCTGTCTCATCGGGCTCCCGTAGACGGTTCACCCGTGCCAGGTCACTCAACTTCACACCCTCCTGGCACGTCCGCTTCGGCCGAGTGTCTTCGTTCTTTCATTTTGGAGGAACATGGGCAATATAACCAGGAAGAACATCACCAGGAGTGTTCGAGTTGAACTATTTAACGATCAATATACTGCTCTCTGATCGTACTCAGCAAGAAGCAGACCATCCTCAGGCAGTCCCTGGACCCGGATTGTCTTGAACCCAGCGGCCCCACACCATGTGACCATCCTGAAAAACAAATAACATCAAACATGGCTGCCTAACACACGTACGTTTACCAAAGGGTCCAAAACCACACCTCAACCATAGACATCGATAGACCTAGAAACGAAATGAACACGGGCGGAATCTTCTGCCTAAATGAAGTTGGGCAAAAAATATAGCCTACATCATGAAGTTCCATGGCTTGATTCTGTAGATCTCTAGATTCTATTTGTGTCCCTCTTTCCAAAGCACCAAATGTCGAACGCCAGGTGGAAACGGCCTTTCCACGCACGCGCGAAAGGCACAGGGCCGCGGTGCGCTCGCCTTCGAGCTAAGGCCACCGTGAACCACGAAGACTGCGCTGTTCACCAAGGTGCACAGCGGCAAATGCCTGGGATAGTCGGAAGGAAGGAAGGAAAGGAAGGAAGGAAGGAATGCGGGGCCCCACTGGGATAGTCGGTGACCTGGTGAAGGGTGAGCTCTTGGTGCCTGAACTCTATTGAACTACACTACACTCCCGAAAATGATCCGGACCGGGTTGAGTGGGACCTGGAAAGACTGTTGTCCTCGAGCTGCACCAGTGGTTTTCAGGGTCCATGCTTGTTTTCCATGGGGTGTACAATAGTTTATAAGGCATTGCAAGAAGATGAAATGGAGGAGGGTTGGATCAAACATGGACCTGCTATGACCTGCTGGCCTAATTGCGATGCATTTCTTCCATTCTGTATGAATTTTTGAAAGCCCGTTGAAAGTGTCCCATCCCACCATCCCATCTACGAGTCAGTCAATGCCGACGTCGGATCAGCGACCTGCCCACGGAGCCTTGATTTCCATGGAAGTTTTGCAAGGGCATCCGGTCTGGAAATGGTGTGAAAACGGTTGAACATGGTTTATACCCAGACGCTTCAAGCAGCCCTTGGTCCCTCTTGACTCAAAAACCTAAGGATTTGAGATGCCAGACCCCTCCGTATGAGGGTCCGACCCCTGCATATGAGGGTCCATGAGCGTCTGTGTACATTGTTGTATACATCGATATGAGTTCGTTCCGAAGCTGAAGCCATGTCTGTCCTCTTTGCTCTAAAAGTCTCTCCAGATCCTTTTGACGGAACCGTCTCCGTCGCGCTCCCGTTGCGTTTGGAGCTTCCGGCTCCTCCCGTCGTTTCGCTATTGTTTTCTCGGCCAAGGAGGCTTAAACGCTTCTGAGAAGAGGCGGAAAAGCTCCTTAGAAGAGCTCAAGGTGTGGAAGAAGAATGCAGGCGCATTGCGCGAGTAGAAAGCCGATGACTTTCTCACGAGACTCGAAGGTTTGGGTCACGATGGTCAAGGAAGTCCAGTCAACATTCAAGTCAAGAAAGGAAATAGACTATAGACCAGTCTGTCCATTGGGCTCCCTATTCAACCGTGTAGATCTCCCAGGTTCAGAGGCCTCTCAGCGACCAAAATCACCATTGGTTCACAAAAAATCGAACCTCCTGCTCGCCTGTCAACTCCCTTGGTGGGTGGCCATGTTTGGCCACTCCTACTGTGCAATCCCATGAACCTCCTAGATTAAAGCAAGAAACAACAAAAAGACACCCCACACGAAAAGCTGATCATCTAATCTTAACATATTTTTGAGAGGGGTCTACCCCCTTTCTCGCCCTGCCTGGATCATCCCGAACCTTCCCTAACCCACACCGAGCTCATCCGAGCTCCCGGTCCGCCAGGGAGCGTTGCCGTACTTGTTCTCAGTCTCGTGCCTTGGGGAACCGTTCGATCGGGTGTTCCCTGGCGTCTCCAGTCCTGGTGGAGGCGTTTTTCGACCCAAAGACCTGACACCGAGTGCCACGGTGAACGGCGGTGTCAAGAGCTCCTGCACCTGTGTCCCAGCCACTGAAAGCCGTAGAGCGCATTCATCCGAAGCGCCTGGACGAGCGGATGAAAAGAAAAACACCCGACTCGTTCCTCCCTGTCCCAGTTGAGCAGAAGAAAGCCATCGTTTAGTCTGGGGAGGAATAGCTGTACACCCAATTCCTTCGTGTCCCATGTGTCGAAGAATCAGTTCGGCTAGCCCTGGAGGAGAGCAACGAAAAAATACATCATCAAATAGTGAACAACCTGCGAACCAAAGACTTTCCAGCATTTTCCAACTAAGAACATCCAGCTTTGGGACAAATGAATGACTTTCGCAAATCTGAGAGGGAATGATAGCTAATCCGGCAAGTCTTGATCACCCAAAAGACACAATGGCAAGCTTTATACAAAACCCCATATGTAGGAACAATGCGGGCAGAATCAGGCAGAATACATTAAGTCACCAACTAAAAATAAGATCCATCAACAGTACAGGTCACGGCTACCCTAGCTGTTCAAGGAAAACACTGCGCAGATTCCCTCTCCCCAAGGTGACAAAGGCTCTGGTTTTATTTGATAGTTTTGATAGATGCCGCCCAGCAGCATTTTGATGTTTTCAGAGTGTTTGCTGTGGCTAACCCTCCAGTCGATGACCTGGCTGAGGCGCCTCTCCGCGGGCCCTCGCGCCTCGTGGTTGCCGCGGTTGAGGTGCACGGATCGTGGATACAAGACCTTCAAGGCCAACCTGGGCACCAAGTGTCGATACAGGTCCTGGTATGTCGTGGGCTGCCCAAGGAAAAAGACTAGTTGAGAGTAGATGGTGACGTCTGGGCCTCCCCATTTCGGTGGGTTTTGAAGGACCCCCATCGGTCACTGGCCATCGAAGCTCTGAATGTTCACCGATGGCCCAAACTAGCCCAGACACGACCTGGCAGGGACTGGTATATGCCTATATAATTATACATCGACCCCCCAATCACCCCAACTGATCGGCAGTTCTATGGCAGTCCCATCAGTCGTGTCTGGGAAGGGTGGCCTTAGACATCTCAGCTGCTCTGGACATGGTGAAATTAAGTTCTCACTGAGAGGAGGCGGGCCAACGAACTCAAGGTTCATCGGCACTGGTGCCAGGTTATGCTGAGTACTTTCAGTTGGGTTTGCCTGTTAAGTAAATTGGACAAATATCATGAGCATGTCGTCTTGGATAAAAAATGATAAAAATAACCCACACATGCAGTGGGTTTGTCCTTTAGAACCCGATTATTACAAAAATGGCTTGTTCCACTCTTCTTCTTCCTCCTCCTCTTCCTCTTCTTCTGATAATACTGAAAAGAGGCTTGTGGGGACGCCATGTGAACCGAGTCCGCCGTCTGCGAACCGGACCGAGTCCGCCGTCTGCGCCATTGCCGGTTAGGCCCGATGAGACTGTCGAGCAATTCGACCCCCGAGCCCCGGGACCGACCGATCCGGCTCAAGGCGGCGGGTCGTGAAGCTGATCGAAACCCAAACAAAAACAGCCGGACTGGAAGGGTCGGAATATCTGCCGACATGTTTGGGTGCTTTTGACATGTGTCTTGGATTCTCCAGTCCCATGAAGACGCTTCGGGGTAAAGTTGTATAAAGGTCTGTAGAGGTCTCGAAGCCCGTTCGCTCAACTCCGGTCGCCCCAGTCGGTCGGGATTCGACGAGGAGGCGAGGCGACGGGTGGGTCCCGCGTAATCGCGGATCTGTTCGACCGCAGATCAGTTAAGAGATTCCTGCCTTTTTTTTGGTCCCAGGTACCTCCGTACTTCGGATGGTCGAACGGAGGTGAATGCGTAATTACTTCTCTCGAGAATGGTCGTTGGGGTCTGGCAGGACATCCGATACCTCGGATGCTCCTGGACCCTTAGGGTGCTCGACATCGGCGTCCGATCGCTCCGTTCGAGTCGCGAGGCCTGAAAGGCTCCGTTCGGTTCGCGTCCTTGTAGTAAGCTGGTTTGTTGGGGGAGGTGCGAGTTCCTCACCCAGAACATCGCCCGTCTCCACCCGGTGACGCCGAGAGGCAAAAGAAACGCCACCTCCACGGAGAATTGTCCACGATCGACCTGGAGGCCAAGTGAAGGCCTTCCATCCTATCTGTCCAGTACTGGACCCAGCAAAACCTGGTCCTGAAAACCTCAGGATCTTTAAGAGCAGCGCTGTTATCAACTCTACAAAATGAACTCTTTGACGGACTTGGACTGGTTTGCACCCGGATTACCTTAAATATAGCTTTTAAGTTCCACCACACCCCTGGTGAGAGAAAAAAACCGCCAAAGACCGCAGCGCGCGACTCTACGATCTCAGAAGTTTCTCTCGCGGGACAATCCGTGGAGAAAGTCACCCAAACCTGGGGCGTCAATCTAAGGATCTGAGTGATGTCAACTAGATCGGTACATGTAGGCATCACGTCAGTCTGTTCAGTCTCACCCCAGATCTCACATGCAAGAAGGTAGGAACCATGAAACTCGGGCGAGGATGTTGTCAGTGTTCTTGTAGTTCCTCTGTTCACCAAGAAGGGACGTGCAGCTGGATCAAGTCCAGTGAAGCCTACTACGAAGATCCCTTGGAACAGTGCTAGGTTGTAGGAAGTTGACTTGAGCCAAAACCGGGGTTTGGGGAACATATCTAAACCCTTAGATAAGGATCCAGTCGTACCGAACCTCAGGTTAGGTGATGTTCGACACTGCTATTTGCCGGTGCCAGGAGGGTCCAGTCGTACCGAGACTGAGAAGGTATACTTGGATTCCTAAGAGTCAGTTCCGCTCGCAACATGGTTCGCCCTCTTTTTTCCATGTTCCTGGTAGCTGAGAGGATCGCCCAAACGGCTCTCCGGTCGCAACTAGTCTTCTGCGGCCCCACTCTCCCCGGTCTCACCACGTCTCCGGTCAGTGCCGCGGGGCGAAGTCACCGTTGAAGAGGTATTGGTTCCGAGGGGAGGGGTCCTGAGTTGAGCGACCGACACACATGAGCAAACGGTGGAGGCGCCGGTTCGATGTTTGGTGCCTATAGGACACCAAAAACCTCTAAGAGGGTTATCTATCAATAGCTCCTGCAAGAGATCATTTTGGGGGTGTCCAACAACAACCATAAGGTCCTGGTGTACATATGTGTATATATATATTTATAATGTAATATATAATATAATATACTATATGCCTAATTATGCCTATGTATATATAGGGCCCAAACATGTTCTCTGTGTTTGATTAGAAAAGCCATGAAAACACCATATTTGGGGTGGTTGATGGTCCAACATACAAATCACTGCTCTAGGTGATTGAATGTGACGGGGTTAAGATGACCCTACTGTAGAGTTTGTGGCCCCGTGCCTTAGAGCATGGAGCATCTGCGACAAAATCCGGTGGTTAGCCCTAGAGAGTCAAACGATGGACGCTCTCCGATGTGGAGTCTCTTGTAGAACAATGTCTAGGCCCCGTTTGAACCCAGACACGACCTGTCCGGGACTGCCACAGGACTGCGCCCCAGAGAGACCCCCCAAGCTCACCACCCCAACTGATTGGCAGTCCTATGGGAGTCCCATGCCCTGTTAGGTCCGGTCAGGTTGGTCCGAGGGACCAACCAGTCCAGGAACCGCGAGCTGAGTAGACGTGGGTGTTTGGAGTTTGCTTAAGCGACCGAAGTGATCAAAGAGGTTTCTTACAACAGGTTTCTCAAAAGGTCAGAAACAACACACAACGTTAGAAGAAACAAAAGGCTGCGGAAGGAGGTGGTGGTGGCGGAGGTGTAGAACGAGGTGGCGGGAGGAGGTGGTGGTGGTGGAAGTGGTGGACCGAGTTGCCGAGTTAACATTTAGGCTCACCTGACAGGTGGGGAAGAAAGCAAATGACGCAGGATCAAAAGAATAAGGTGCAGAGATGTCAAATTTGCATTAGGGGAACAGCCCTTGTGGAGGGTACTCTTTGTGAGCTTCTCAAATGATTGATTTTGGTTGTGGATTGTCAGAATAGGACACCTATAAACCCTGAACCTTACCCATGTTCCGCGATATGTATCAAAAAGCAAGTGCAAAACGAAAGGCTAAGCCATCAGCAAAGACCTCATTGACGAGCTAAAAAAGAGATGAGCGGCCATATAGAAAAATCGTGATTTAAACCTCTCCTAGTACCTCTCCTAGTATATCAACCCCCACACCAAGTGCGGTTTTGAATGGTTTTGAAGGGTAATCGTTCTGAAGGGTAAGGGCACATCAGAGTGTACCTGAGGAAGACTTCGGCATGCAAGCACAATCATCTGTAGGGGTGGAGCTGTCCTTTTGCTTGGTCTTCGCGGCTTCCAGCTGGATACTAGACATGCGTCGTCGTCAACTTCTTGGCTTCTTTGCGGCAAGCTTTCATGGCTTTCTGAAGGAAGCTTGTGAAGGTGGACAAGCGATCGTCCTTGTTCATCCAGCCCGACTCTTCCTCTTTGACATCTTGGTCTTGTTCTCCTTTGGATTTGATTTTTTTTTGATTTCGCCTCAGCTAGCCTTCGTTTCCTTCTCGTTTGGATCTCCGAAGAAGATTCGTCGGCAGACCATCCTTGTTGCTTCACACAAAGAGAACTGCGAAGGCACCAGCGACAGTGCCTCATCATCTTCAATCCGCCACTGCAGAGCTTCGACAAGTTCGGCCACGGTCTCCACGGTTTGCAGAAACATCGGACGCACTTCCTGGCGGTTGCAACTTGCGGCCACGTCGTAAGAGCCCAAGCTGGGCTGATCGCACGTGCCAAGCGAAATGGACGTTTTGTCTGGGGACCACCCACGGTGTGAGCGCTCGTGAAGCTGCAAGGGCTTCAGTGAGCCAGTCGCCAAGCTGGTCTTGGTCTCGCGAAAGCGGTGATGAACCAACCCACTCCAGCTTTCCAAGCCACTCCAGCTTTCACCACGCCGGCCATCTGATGGTTGCTGATTTCTGCTTTGGGAAAGGGGCTGCCCAAAAGGGATTGAAACTGTTGGAAAACATGTTATAGATTATAAACCTCTTCCCTGCATCACCACCCAAGCGCTGGACCCCGGCACCCTGGGCACCTTCATCGCCACACCGACCCAGGCAACATGAAAGGGTGAGATGGATGGGACATAAAAACCCTATACATCACATCCCTTTATACTGACTTAAAAAAACAAGATTAGAGTCTACCTGGCCTCAGATTTCTTATCACACTTGGGATTCTAAGACATATTCTATCAACCTTAAATGGTGATTTCTTATCACAAGCTTCAGCCGTGCTCGCAATTTGGAACAATTTTTTCCAGGGTGGTGGCTCGGATGAACGGACTGTGGAGGTTTCTCCATCATCCTGACTTTGACCAACATGCAATCGAACTCCGAGAACAACGTTAAGGGCCCACCCGAACGTCGACGACCCACCCGAAATCCCCGGAAATCCCCGGAAATCGACGATTCGAAGCAATGCTGTTGCAGAATCCCCGCACATCTCCAGCAGATGCAACAAGTCCCAGAATTGGCCGTGTAAATCGCCCACCACGTGCCTCGTCTGTTCGATTCGGGTTGGGGAACATGCCTCCCATTCACGATGGTTGGACGCCCCAACATCGATTCTGAAGCGACTTTCGGTGGGACCAGCCACCCCTTTTCACCGGGTCTTTGCGCGCTTTGGGGGCTGATTTGCATCCCAGACTCTGTCCCAGCGGTGGTGTTTGGGAGAGCCCCGGTCCGGCCCGGCCGTAAACTGGTCGATTTCTATGTGGGCAGAACACGAAAACCGCAAGGACCGCAGGAGACCAGGTGTGATTCCCCGAAGCGCCAAACTCTGAAATGGAAAAACCATGAAAAAACCATCCGTGCGACCTGTTGTTTTTCGGAGTCAACCCCTTCTCCATGCACGAAATGAGTCTCAAATCCCTGCGAAGCAGAGGGTCTCAGAAACCCGATCTAGAACCAAATCCTTATGGTTTTTTCTGCAAAAAGTCCGGAAATGTATGGAAACCTATTACTTGCATAACCATGATCTTCCTCTGCCACCTAGAGGATTTGGGTTAGCCTTTGCAGGTGCAAAGGCATCAAAAAACTATTTCCCACATCCACCAGCCCCTGATGAGCCACAAAGAACATCAAAGAACCCACCAATTCCAAATTGTTTGTGTGAGGTTTCAAATCTCAACCTGTGCAGCTCCGAATAACCCAACCTGTCACAATACCAAGATATGACAAGATGCACAGTGCAGCCCACTTGAACCTGGTTGAGGTGAGGGCGCCCTTTGAAAGCGCGAAAAAGAAAATCCCAAATAAATAACGAAACTGGGTCTTTAAATTGTGAAATTTGTTCGAATGCGAAACTCGTCGATGGATGACTTTGACTGTGCCTGCCAATATCAAAGACACCCTGGAAAAAACATAAACACCACTTGCTTGCATCAAGATGGATCATTGGGATCTTGGATCATGTAGGATCTGGACCGTAGATTGAAAGTTGCGCCATGGTCGTTGAAGAGCCGATCGAGATTCACATTCAGATTCCTCACGGGACCCTTTCCAATCAAAGACCCAGCTTGGCCAACTCTTAAGCTGGGTTGGCCTTTCGGCCTTGCCGAAAAAATGTTTTCTCATTTGGTGGTTTGGTGCATATAAACCAAAAAGAAGTCAAGCACACCTTTTCACTACAATGCAAAAGGTCAGTCGTCAGCGGCAGGACCTGGTCAACAAAGCAATTAAACCAACAAAGCAAAGCAACAAAGCAAGGAACAAAGTGACCGCGGCGACGGCACCCTTTTGCACAGTCAGGCGGCGGCGACGTTTGGGGCCCATACGGGGCCTTCCCAACTGCCATGTGGTTGCTCTTCACTTAAGGTAGTTGAACGCCAATATAATCATTCTTGTGGGAGATAAGTCGCACATGTCGCACTTGCACAAATATTCTTGAATATTTGTTGTAAGCAGATATAAGTAGATATAAGTTCTACATGTGCGTATCAGACGAGACGCGCATAAAGAAAAATAACAGAGGCAAAGAAGCAAACAGAAGGCAAACTGAGTCCCTTGTACTGATTGGAAGGCACAGCAGTCACACCGCCGCACCCAACAGATTGTTGGATGGAACCCACAGCAGTCACACCACCGCAGGTTATATGCTACTTTAACACTGGCTTTGCTAATGACAATGCAAGACAGCGCAAGCACCGCGCAGGTTCGCCTTTTAGCGCATGCAGATCAATCAGTGACAGTGGTTGTCAGCCAAAAGTTGAGCCAGTCTAGTCAGTTCAGTCCAGTGGTGGTCAGTCCACACACGAACTTTAACTATAATGATTAATATAGTAATATTAATGGTCCCGCATTTGCCCCACAAAGCAAAAAAAATGTAAGCCATTGGAAAACAACCTTCAGGTGGTTTTTGCCACTTGCAGCCTCCTCAAAAGACCGTCGTCGGGATGCCCTCCATTCAAAGACCCCCTGGATCAGTTTTTTGCAATTGGAAAATCACTTTCAGGGATGTCTTCACCAGAAACTTTCAACTAAAGCCAGAAACTCCCTTCCCAGCTACATAGACGATTCCGACCTCAGTTCACGCGGTTCCTGCAGCCACGTCAAGCCCAGAGGTGAAAAAGCTAGCGGCTTCCTTGATTGCAAACATTAGATGATCTATCTTGGTGCAATGCAGGCACTTGGTGCAAAGCAGGAAATGTCTTTTTCGCTATGTGCGTGCCGTTTCGCAATTACAAGATACATTTTTGCACTTACATCATTTGTTACTAAAATATCTTAAAATAGGACTTTTGTTCTTAAGAGGCACCCTGGGCTGAGGTTGGGTCGATTCTGCGTTCCGGCAGGGCGTATGAGCGCTAAAGAACAAGGAGAAAACATTGGAGCCTGCATGGTTGTACAATAGTAGCCGATCCCGTGCTCCTGGTCGATTGAACCTGCACCATATGAACACATGAACCTGCACCGTTTTGATTCTACTGCTGCGATCCGAGATCAGTAGGAATGGTCATGCTGCAGTGCTCTGAAAACATCCTGGGTAGGGTAGTGCACAACCTCGCATGATTCTAGATGGTGATGGGAATATCTCTGGACGTTGTTCTCTTGCAGTCATCAACATCGCTCTGCATGTCTCTCTCTCTCTCTCTCTCAATCAACCTCACCCCACCAAAAAACTTGCTCCCTTGTTGCCGATTCTTCTCGACACAACCATGAGAACCTTTGCTAGGCCTACGCATTTAGGTATTCATCTGTTTTACAGGGGCCTGCTTGGCGATGCAAGAAAGAAACATGAAGAAACAACTGGAGTGGCAGCAAGCATGTTCTTCCTATATATAGCAACATATCAAATAAGTTACTATTTCCTGCATGGGTGTAGTATGCCTGCGTGTATATATATACACCTTTGTATATGTATACTAGACACAACACAACTACTATAGATGCATTATCAACAAAACATATATATATATATAACATCATTAACGTTGACAAACTGGGAGGCCGGTGGGTGAACCGTGTGACATATGTTGATGTGTAAGTCAATAGGGAGACCCCCAACCATTGGGTTTTGGTCCATTGTGCTTCTTCCAAGGGGTCTTTGCGAGGTCTCCCATTTTGGGTCGTGGAACAAAACACAAAAGTCAACCTCCCTGGCTCTCACGAAATTGAACAATAACATGGAAAAACCATGGTTAGTGAAGACTTTTCTCTAAAAATATAGTGATAGTTGTCCACTGACTGTTACAGGTAATTTAATTTAATGGTATATTCCATGGTCTTTCCACTTCAGTCGTTTGATGAATCATATTGGAAAGAGCATGGAAAGACCTTGAAAGACCCTAGTTCTGGCCGCTTGAAGTTCCACGCAAGAGCAAGCTTTCACCAATCCATCATCTCTGTGTCCTATTGGCACCATCTGCTTCCAGAAACCCAGCACCTTCGCAGCGAGGTCTTCGCTCGGTATTCGCTCGAAGTGCCTGGAGCTTCACCATGTTTTCCTCTTTCTTCAGCAGCTCCAAGGCTTTCGACACCACTTCCGTCGCATCCGCCTGACGCGTCGCTGGAGGTCCGTCGCTGGAGGTGCGTCACAGCGCTGCGGAGGTCGGAACGCCTGGGAGGTCTCGCTAGTACATTACCCCGCAGGCCTTGATGGGAATTCAACCCCAGGAAGGCCTGAACAAGGTCTTACAGTCCAGGTTGGGGGGATATTGATCAAGATTCTATAACTGGAATGAACTGGATCTCCCTTCCGAAGGTAACTGGATCTCCTTTCCGAAGGTGACCTAGTTAATATATACTATATATATATATAGCTATAACTACCAGCACCGCCCAAAGGATGATAAACATTGACCTATCGACACCCCTCAAAAACAATGTATTTTCCATCAAACATCATCCAACCAACCACCCAGAACGTTCGTGGTGCTGGTCTGGTGGATAGTCTTTGGGACCCTTCGAAACCCGGGAATTGGTCGCTTTCCAGTCGCCGCCATCGCCCCGGCGCCGACGGTTCGGTGCACAGGGCGGGCCAGAGCTATGCCGGTCACCGAAGATCAGAGCTGGGTGAACTCAGTGAACTCCTCCACGTCCGGAGTGTTTCCATGCTCACTTCTTGCTGGCCTCAGCCTGCCACTTCTCGCCCTTCTGCAGGAGACCCCAAAAACCTTCGAAAAGAAGACAGGAGACGCTCTCGCACGCGGAGATCGATTTCTGCACCTGGACTAGTGGATGCTCCGTGCTCTCCCTTTTTGCTGTTGGCTGAGATTCTGCATGGTACCTTGGCCGCCAGAGGCACAACAAAAAGAGATCGATCTCTTCTTTTGCGCGACCTCCTTGCCACCACGATATAGGTCAACTCGCAGGATCGACGCTGGGCCGCGGTGAGTCGTGCAAATGGCGAAGCGGCGTGCGATCGCACCGGCGATAGGGCGCCCCGAGAGATGCAGGCGT